GGGGGGGGATTTGAGACATAGAAAGTAACCTAGAGTGAGCAGACACATACTTTGTGAAGTGAAGATTTGAGGAAGAAATTTAAATATGCAGAAGTTTGAAAAAAATGACAGCAGGAGGTATTGCTGATCCTGCTGACCCCCTCATATCATTGTTGCTGTTATTCAGTCACACACTGATAAAAATCGTATAAATACTTCTAGCACACATGAAGCTGAAACTTCAGTCGGCATCATTTTACCGCTTGTACTGCAGATAAAGCCCTTCAAGTCTATATAAACAGAATTGCACAACAATTCATTAATTATTAACTTTTGGTATCACTTGTCTTTGACGTCTACCTCCTGAGAGGCATGCTACAAAGCCAAAGAAGCCTTACCATGTTGAACTGATGATGTACTATGGACCTTAGAGGCTATTTTTCCCTTTATTATGGAAAGGATCCAGTGATCATCTACCACTATTGTCCTCTACTATTCCACTCTTTATTTAGAGAATGTACCAACATGCCTGAGGCCAAATGAGCTAATATGTGTATCCAGACATTTCCAGATCCAACTGCATTTGCTTTGGGGTTTTTATTACAGATTTTGGAATCTCTACACAATCACAATGAAGATTATCTTCTATCCATAAAGCTTTAATCCTGAACACCGAATTAATTACATCTAAAATGATTACATAAGACAGACACCAACTCAGCAGTACGGGCAGCTTCTAGCAGGGGGACACACACACACACACACACCTTGCATTCGGCTCAGCAAGAGAAACTGCGTTGACAGCACTAGAGCTTGCTTCAACATATGCTGTGATTATACCATAAAAATAAACTGACCTCAGGTGTACAGCAGCCACCACACAAGTAAACTCATTAAATGCATCCACCTCCCCCACAAGTTGTGAAGCTGGCTAATTTTTTACTATAAACGTATTTAAGTTTGAAAATCTTATAAACCTTACCTGAATATTATTTAAAAGAGAGACATTAAACCGAGAAAGTGTTGTTTTGTTGTTGTTTTGATATGTGGAGCAAAGCTGTGAGCAATGTGGAGAAATGGGAACATAAAGAAGGATGCGAGCAAAGACGGAGTGCAACCGTACCTCTGTCCTCTGGCCTGACCAGATGAGGCTTCTTGTCAGCACTCGGGATCTCCGGCTTAAGAGCTGAAAAACGAAACATGGTCCGCACAAGAGTCACCTCGTCTGTCTGACGCAACTGACTTGAGACTCACACAACAGATAGGAAGACACTTTCTCAAGTAAACACAACAAAGCACTGACACAAATACACTATCCTCTACCAGACACTTCCAGGCGGGTATGAAATTAGTACAGAATTGCCAGATGACTATTACACTGTGTATGTATTGGTGGGTGCACACCAGTGTGGTTTGGTTATGTTTGACATCTACACATTAAGAAAAAAAAAAATCTCTACACTGACAGGAACTCATGCGCGCGCGCACACACACACACACACACACACACACACACACACACACGCAGTCCTAGCAGGATATGAATGCAAACCCTGTGGTAAAAAAATTGTGCAAATATGCATTCTGCAAACTGTAGATGTTGCTGCTGATACCAGGGACTGCTGTCTCTATACCCAAACTCAGTCACCACACAGCCTTCTACTTGAAGTAGAAGTAGATCACACACTTTGGGCTTTGACGAATGTTTCTTCAATCAGTTAAACGTAAACAAAGAGTACATGGCAGAGGATCCAATCCTTTTTGGATTTTAATCTACTTTCTACCATGTGTATATATACTTCTTTTTTTTATGAGTTGCTACAGTTACAGGATCCCAGCATGTACACAGGTGCACTCAATGGGACATGATGATGGAAATATCCTGAGTACACAGCTGTTTCTTTTGCTTCCTTGATGATATTTCAGCAATGAAACAGCACAGACGCTGGCTATAAAGAAGGATTGAAACCAAAAAATTAACAGATTATTCTAACAATAATCTATATATTTTTTCCAAACAGTAATATTAATGCACTTCATATTTTTGAGGCGGTGTAGAATAAATGTAAACACCTACTAATTCTACTTAAGAAATGAGCTGCTCAATAGCAAGACATTTAAAGCAAGAAGCCCGTTTTCACACTTCCCACTGACTTGAGAGCAGATAATAAGACAAAGAGGTTAAACTGCTCCTTACCCGTGCTTTTAGATGGTGGAGGCGGTTTCTTCGGTTTCTGACAGGAAGACAAAATTAGAGAGTTAATAAATGTTAGTGTGAGGATGACACAACAAAGTGATTATCTTTATTTTAAAAAAAAAAAAGCAGGAGTTAAGGAGAAAGGTACAAATTCGGTTTGGTCTAAACAAAGATTGAATTTGTTGCACTAGATTCAGTCCTGCAGTGAAATGTTGTGATTGTCTTCTTATATTAGGAGAGCAACACAGGCAGTTTAAATATTTTGTTATTTTACAGCACAGCCCTCTTCGATTACAACTCAATATATTAATTCAATGAAGATTAACCATAAGTCTGACTGTCTAACATGATTAACGCCAACACAACTCAATATATAAGACCTACATTTTAAAGGCCTTACAATGCTGGTTTCAACCATTATTAACAGACGTACTACACAAAGTATTTCACTAATTAAAAAAATAAAAAAATAAAAAAAATGACGAGGTTCCATCTGCTATGAAACGGGGTGAAATAGGGTGGGAGGAGAGGCAAAGTACAGCGAGTGTCACCCGAAACCAACCCGGGCACTGCAGTATCACACTGGACGCATTTAGCACTTAGCAGGTTTACTTGCTCAGACATGTAGGTGTTGGCTGCTACTTTCAAAATGCTAAAGGTTATTGTGTTTACAGACACAGACTTAAAAAGGTTTCTCTTTATATTAATACTGTCTCTCTCATCTAACTGTTCCCAACAATAAACTTTGGCATAATTATGACAATAATGCCTGGGAACCAAAAAGATTATGTCTGAGTACGGGCAATATTTCAGTACAAGATTCGCCAGCTGACTTGTGTTGCATTAGTTAGACTGCCGCTTTGTGACATTTTATAGCTTAGGCACTGGTATCCTAATACCCATTAATAAAATCTATTTCCATAAAAATATTATGGTCAGCAGTGATGGGCTTACAGCATTCATTGAGTGAGTTATTTACTGTCCAGTCATGTTATATAACCCTAACATGACAAATACAAAAGCAGTTCTCAAAATGAATGGGGTATATATCTCTTTTTCCCCGCTTTCTTTTTTTTTGCAAATACACACCAACATCTCTGGAAAACACTTTTAATTACTCATCAGCATTACAGTAAATCTTATATACAAAGGTGTATATATGTATTGTATTGTTCCAGTTGACATTAAAGTGTGAGAGCGGGTGGCTGAAAGATGTTCAGGACTTCTCTTGTTGTGTTATTTCAACATGTGCAGTTAAAGACGATTCTACCTCCCACAAATTAAATAAAAACTGATTTCATCCCAGCAATTCACATCTAAAGTAAGAGTCAAATATGGAAGCGGAGAAGGGATTATGGAGGGATTTGAGGGCACGCATGTTACATGTCAATGATAAAAGTCACACAGTGGCTCTTTTCCCAAGATTTTTATAGATTCAGTGAACGTAACAGGCTTTTATGTGTGTGTCTGATTTATAATACAGTCATGTTAAAAAAAGAAAGAAGACACACACACCCACAACCTCACCCTGAGCATTTCAGTCAGATTGAGGTTTGGACTTTGGGCCACTGCAACACCTGGAGTCTTTCCTTTCCATTATAGATTTGCTGCTGTGCTTGGGATTATTGTTCCTGTGCATAGCAAAGCTTTAACTGTCAGATGACTTCACTCACTCATTCATGAATATTTAACACATTAAGGCCTGATTTAGATTTAGGGAATCTTTTTAATTGTTGCAGGCTGCGTTGACCCGATATGTAATTACATTTCTTGGTGTGTGTGTCATAGGTTTGCTGCTGAAGCATAAATCAGGTGTAACAGAGGCCTGTAGAGTCTGAGCTGTAATTCTTGGTCACTCTTGTTTCACATGACTGTATATCTAAAGATATGGTTCAATCATCAGCATGATCCATGATTATAACTCACCTTTATGTGTATTTAAGAAAAACAAAACACGAGTCATAAGTGCAATAAAACTATTAAGTGGGGGAAAAAATCCCGACTGCAAGAACAAGCAAACAAACCTAGTCTATCTTTTTATAGATCAACGTTGTTCATGTGAACAAAAAGGTAAAGATGTCATTTTAATGCAACAACGCATAGCAATGACTTTTTCCTGTGCATATATGCATTTTCACTTGTGCTGAGCAAACAGGCTTTGTGGTACAGATCATGCAGCAACAAGCAGCACACAGCAACAGTTTGAAATGTAAAACAGAAATAGTTTTAAATATATCAGTGCAGTTCTGCTATTTCACTTCTGCTTTCCTCTGTTTCTGCGATTCAAGATTTGAATAGTTGTGCGGGGACTTTGAATTTAAAATGTGCTCCACAAAGCAGGAGCCAGAAGGTGGGGCCACAAAATGTAAGGGCATAATGTAAATCAACAAAACACCAATGAGCACCAAAATACAAGAATAAAACAGTAAAGAATAATAAAAGCCAAAAGTTGAAACCCGTAAATAACAAGGAATTAAAATTAAATAATAAAGGTGAGCAGCAGACCTGTGAGTGAGAAAACACCAAAACTGAAAGCAAAAATTAAATCAAATGACTCAAAACAAATCAAATTTGCACCGATTGATCTCCTATAGTAATCACTGAATGTGGCCATGGATGATAAGCATACAGGGAGTGCAGAATTATTAGGCAAATGAGTATTTTGTCCACATCATCCTCTTCATGCATGTTGTTTTACTCCAAGCTGTATAGGCTCGAAAGCCTACTACCAATTAAGCATATTAGGTGATGTGCATCTCTGTAATGAGAAGGGGTGTGGTCTAATGACATCAACACCCTATATCAGGTGTGCATAATTATTAGGCAACGTCCTTTCCTTTGGCAAAATGGGTCAAAAGAAGGACTTGACAGGCTCAGAAAAGTCAAAAATAGTGAGATATCTTGCAGAGGGATGCAGCAGTCTCAAAATTGCAAAGCTTCTGAAGCGTGATCATCGAACAATCAAGCATTTCATTCAAAATAGTCAACAGGGCCGCAAGATGCCGCTTGCCACCAGTTTGGCCATCTTTCAGAGCTGCAACATCACTGGAGTGCCCAAAAGCACAAGGTGTGCAATACTCAGAGACATGGCCAAGGTAAGAAAGGCTGAAAGACGACCACCACTGAACAAGACACACAAGCTGAAACGTCAAGACTGGGCCAAGAAATATCTCAAGACTGATTTTTCTAAGGTTTTATGGACTGATGAAATGAGAGTGAGTCTTGATGGGCCAGATGGATGGGCCCGTGGCTGGATTGGTAAAGGGCAGAGAGCTCCAGTCCGACTCAGACGCCAGCAAGGTGGAGGTGGAGTACTGGTTTGGGCTGGTATCATCAAAGATGAGCTTGTGGGGCCTTTTCGGGTTGAGGTTGGAGTCAAGCTCAACTCCCAGTCCTACTGCCAGTTTCTGGAAGACACCTTCTTCAAGCAGGAAGAAGTCTGCATCCTTCAAGAAAAACATGATTTTCATGCAGGACAATGCTCCATCACACGCGTCCAAGTACTCCACAGCGTGGCTGGCAAGAAAGGGTATAAAAGAAGAAAAACTAATGACATGGCCACCTTGTTCACCTGATCTGAACCCCATTGAGAACCTGTGGTCCATCATCAAATGTGAGATTTACAAGGAGGGAAAACAGTACACCTCTCTGAACAGTGTCTGGGAGGTTGCTGGGAGGTTGGTGGTTGCTGCTGCACGCAATGTTGATGGTGAACAGATCAAAACACTGACAGAATCCATGGATGGCAGGCTTTTGAGTGTCCTTGCAAAGAAAGGTGGCTATATTGGTCGCTGACTTGTTTTTGTTTTGTTTTTGAATGTCAGAAATGTATATTTGTGAATGTGGAGATGTTATATTGGTTTCACTGGTAAAAATAAATAATTGAAATGGGTATATATTTGTTTTTTGTTAAGTTGCCTAATAATTATGCACAGTAATAGTCACCTGCACACACAGATATCCCCGCTAAAATAGCTAAAACTAAAAACAAACTAAAAACTACTTCCAAAAACATTCAGCTTTGATATTTATGAGTTTTTTGGATTCATTGAGAACATGGTTGTTGTTCAATAATAAAATTATTCCTCAAAAATACAACTTGTCTAATAATTCTGCACTCCCTGTAGTGTAATTTAAATAGCATCATTTCACAACAACAGAAAATTTGATGTGAATTCCTCAAGAAAGTGTATCTCAGAATGTTGATCCCTGCAGTATTAGACAGAAACACAGATCTAAAAATCTCTCATCAGCAAGGACTGTCAACAGTGGGGAGGAAGACCACCCTTTCAACAAGAAGAGACCAGTAGTAGTCACCTGCTGCCACTGTTTGGGATGGTGAGAGAAAAGTTAAGAGAAAAGGAGGAACATAATCCTGTTTTCCATCACAGGAACTATGATAGCTGCACCCATCCTTTACATACAGGCAGCTAAGGATGAAAAGAAGTGCTTGTGAATAGTTCGGGTACTCTGGATGCTTACCTCTTCTGCCTCTGGCTTTGGTGATGATTTGATGGACCCTCTTGATGTGTGAGCCTGAACAAGAACAGAAATCTGCTAGAAAGTCACTCCAACAGCTTTCTCTGATGAGATCAATCAGTCAGACTTTCACACTATTTTACACAACCTGACGGACTGTTTAAAAACTGCTCCACTGATCTCAAAAGGCTCCTTTGTACTGTAAAAAGCATTTGGACGACACCAACAGTTACTTGCTGCATTTGGGACATGGGAAATTTAATCCGACTTCGAGCTCGATAAAACTAATTGGTAGATGTAAGATACAGTACGCCATATGTCAAAACTGGGATTGAGTGAGCAGTGTGAAGCAGGGAGTCCTTATCTAAACCTCTGCGTTTAATTTCATGGGCAGGAAAGACCAAAAGATTTTCACACTAAAAACTAAATAAAATGTAAGAACGCTGCAGAGTTTACTACACAGCTGGGGATCAAACTGTAGAAAGAGCAAATCCTGAACTGCACATTCAGGAGATTTTTTGACATGCAGAGACAGATGTGGGAAACACAATGTGGAACGCCAGAGTGGTGATGTTACTCATAGGTGGAGTGGTGATTGCCTATTTATGCTTCGATTTGTACAGGAATCGAAGCATAAATAGTGCAAAGTTTTTGTTTTACCCCAGGCTACATAAAGCTGAACTGAGCAGATGAGGGCAAGAATTAAAACACAGCAACAGGAACTAGAAGCCAGGAAATTTTCAAAAAAAAAAAGAAAAAAAAAAAAAAAAAAAAAAGGAATGTGTGTGGATTAAACAGTTCACTTTGGAAAGTCTCCTGGAGTCCACTGAAAGCATCCAAAGGATGAAATCAAACTGCAATGTTTTCCTTAAGAGGAGTTTAGATGACTTAATCTATACATCTAACCATCATAGTGACTTTGCAAAGGAACTGAACAAGACTTCAGGACACAACAGCTAAAAACAGTTTTAGAGTTGCACATGGAGATTACCTCAAATGATACGGAGACCACCACAGTGCTACATCCCTGTGGGGCTCATTCTCATGCGCAGCATTAACGTGCTGTCAGTCACCAGAATGTGATTTTCCTAAGTGTCCTGATAAGCTGATGAAGAGATGAGAGTTTGAATGACATCATATTTACTCCTCCTGATTGGTCCGTGTGAACAGAAAACAAATCAGGACTAAAACATAGTACTGCATAATTTCTTTTTCATTGGTCCAAATAGAGTTCAGGTTAAAAAACTGAATTAATTTATTGACGTTTGGTTTTAATTTATACGCACAGTATATCCACTGTGACTGGTTAATGGATGAGGGGAATGGAAAGATGATTTTATAGTAGTATATAAACACATGGGGAAGCTCAGCAAAAGGACTGAGTGCATCATGGGAAGTCCCCCAGCAGTCCAAGCCAATAGCAGCATTACTAAGGGATAGCTAAGTGTTAACTGCTCCAGCATGAAGAGAAGGAAGTAAGCCTCTAAGGATCACTCTGGATGTTTCTAAATTTTGCATCACTGCAAATATAAAGAACATATCCTTGTATCTTGTTTACTCTCATATTTTACACCATGAACACCACCCGCCACACCCTCCTGAGTCTCACGAGTCCCTCGGTTAACTTAAAGAACCTATAACAGATGATCTAGTAACGAATGACTGGGAACGTTGACTGTAGACCATAATGAGTTCATTCTGTTCTTTTTCCAATCCCACCTCTTTCTCTGCTTCAGAAATCATGACAACGAAGTTGTCAGGGAAGACGCCTTCTTTGCCTCCAACTTCGCCTCGCCACCAGCCCGGCTCTCCTGTGTCCTGTGACAGAGGCAACAGAAAACAATGAGCGGAGGCTAGCATGACATCACACGTATGTCCAATAAGGCTGTTGTTTTTTCTTTATTTAAAACTAATGTAATTTCCTTTTTGGGAAAAAAAAAAAGAAAGTTTTTTATTACTTTGAAAACTACATAGCCTGAACCCTGACCCTACGCTATCAGGGGTCTTGGCAATAAAGGAGTCAAAGAAAATATGTAAAACAGGACAGGGAAAAACAAAAAGACCAGCTTTAAAGAAAAAAAACTTAACTCCCTCTACTAATATGTCAAAACTTGTTTTCATTTGAATGCACTTTTCTCGTTTCACCACTAGATGGAGGCAGCTTCCCAAGAACTACAAGAAACCAAGTGTTGCTTCCACTTTTCTCTCTTGCAATGCAGCTATAGGGCTGCTATGAACTCCCCACACATAAATAATTACATCCAGTTCTGAGAGGTAGGTTATAAGAGTGTAACTGGTTTGGTACAAGTCCATGCTACAGTATTGTTTGTGCGGTTGGCTGCAAAATGAAAGCAGAAATGTTCATGTTGTAGATGCATAAATGGTAAAAATGGGTGATTTCAGGCAGCATGATGATTTTATAATGCTGCTGTGAAGCAATAACTTGTATGAGGTGCTGAAAACAAAAGCAAAGAACAGTTTGTTTTTTGCCAGGCAACATAACAGTATCATCATACAACAAGCAGAAATGAAATGTTATTATTGCTAAATTACAGTGATATAATGCTTTTATACAGTGTTATATGTGCCTAAGTGCTAAGCACAAGCTATTTTAGCCTGTTGCTAAATTGCTGCTAGGCAACATTATGATATCAGATGATACACATTTAGCTGCTCAACTCCTGATCATGTGAGAGGAGTTGGTGCACACAGACATGTAACAGGATTGCACATTTCCTTTTTGCTCAAGTTCCCTTGTTCTTCAGCTGTTCTTCTGCTTCACATGTTGGGTTGTGACACTGACGAAAAGGTATTTCATTACACAAGTTTACAGCATGAGTCACCTGGAAGCTTACCTTGCTCAGCACGTGTACAATATCGCCTTCGTTCAGGGTGAGCTCGTCCTCGTTTGTGGCTTTGTAAGCGTACGCCACCTTACAGTACTCTTTAGCTGTGGAAACCAAAACATTGGCTTCTATTATAGATTGAAAACACAAAGAAAAATCACCAATACACTACTTTATTCACCTTGTCACCACATTTGTCTCTTTACTAAAAGACTAAAAATATTAACCAGTATCTATATTTCAAGAGCAACCTCGGGGATGTTTTCATGTTTCTCAGCCAGATAGTGTGATGTGAGAAGCACGGGAAGCCTGCCCAGTGTTCTACATCAATTTCTCACTCAATTTCTAACTCCTAGTGAGTTACATATAAAACAAAAAAATATAAACCTATAAACAAAAGCAACATGCATTAGCTAGTAGCAAACAATTACTGTCAATTTTTATTCATATTTTATTCAAAGTGAGGTGCTAAGCAAACATCATGTTGAATACGTAAAGGTAAAAAAGGAGCAAATAAAAACTTTCAATAATCTCATTTACACTTATTCAGACCAACAAATATGCTAACCCTTCACCCAAAAGGCAATCGACTTTTAATCATTCATCAATCAATCATCAATCGATCTATGACAATATCTGGGGCAGGTCTGCAGGGGCAGAAGGATGAGCAGTGCCCTCCCTTTCTCCACCTGCTTCCTCCAACTTTCAGACATTAACAGGCCAGCTGAGAGTTACAACCTCTGTAGTTTGTCCTAGGACCTCCTCCCTGCAGGATAACACCTCGGCCTGGAGGCATCCATCCCATCCCATCCCATTCCATCCCATCATACTCTTTTTTTGACGTGGAGGAGTAGCAGCTCCACTCCAAGCCCCTCCTGAAAGACCAAGATCGCCGCCCATCAGGAAAGCAGAGCCTAGCCACAATTCAGAAAAAGCTCATTTCTGCTTCTTTTATCTATGACCTCAAGCCAGCACCTGTCTAACTGCTGTATATGAATGACCTGGCCAAGCCAAACAGCTGAATTTGAGATTCATCACCTTTGGCAAGACTTTTCTCAGGTTTTGTGCAAGTCTCTTTTTACCTTTATTTCTTCAACAATGGGATTCTAATCATTCCTGCATTTATTGGACACACTCATTAAACATTCCCAGTGCCGACGGTAAAAGAATGCTCGGCTTTAATGAGCTGTCAAACATTTTCTGTAGCACAAACAAATTCCCAGCAGCTACAGATCAGGCAAGCAGAAACCTCGAAAAGGAAGTTTAGCCCATTCTTGGAAGAACTGTTTCAGCTCAGTCACATTCTCAGGATATCTAGTGTAAACAGCTACTGAGATCAATCCAGAGGATCTCTACAGGGTTTGGGCTCCAACTGAATTGCCTCGATCGGCGAAGGTTGTCGGTGATGTTATTCAGTGCTCTTACTTAGATATTTAGGGTCACTGTCCTGCTCACCTTTTAAGCCTATTAAGGATCATTCAAAATAGGAGAAAAAACAAAAACAAAAACAGCAGAGAGCACAGAAACTCAATGAAACTCAGTAACTTGTACTTGAATGACAGGGGGAATACCTGGTAGGATTGCTAAGTGACTAGAACGCTGAATGGACCAAGCAGCTAATAGCAATACTGTTACTGTTACTTTCAAAGCAGTGTATGACAAGGCCGAGTACTATTCAATTCAATTCAATTTTATTTATATAGCGCCAAATCACAACAAAAGTTGCATCAAGGTGCTTCATAGATACAGACAAAAACCCAACAATCATATGACCCCCTATGAGCAAGCACTTTGGC